AAGGGAGAGTGAGTGAGTGAGGGAGGGAGGGAGTGAGTGAGTGAGGGAGTGAGGGAGTGAGGGAGTGAGGGAGTGAGGGAGTGAGGGAGTGAGGGAGTGAGGGAGTGAGGGAGTGAGGGAGTGCGTGAGTGAGTGAGTGAGTGAGTGAATGAGTGAGTGCGTGCGTGCGTGCGTGCGTGCGCGTGCGTGCGTGCGTGCGTGCGTGAGTGAGTGAGTGTGTGTGTGTGTGACACATCTGAATAGATGTAAAACTTCTTTGGTTTAGAGAGGATCTTGGATCTACTTATTGCTCATTTTTCTGCAGGGGACGACAGGGTCGCTGCATGGCTGTCGCCAACGAAGCTCCATGCAGTTGACTAGGATATGGAGTCTGATCAACTCCACGTACCTGCCTTTTTTCCGACATAGCAAGGGGCCAAGCTCAGAACCACAGATACAATGATTTTATTTCTTCACGGTTGCCACAATCTGTATTTTCGCCGAAACCATGTCGCCGATGTATTTTGATTATTTCGCCGAAACCATGTCGCCGATGTATTCTTTGATTATTCTGGAAAACCATCGCCGAAACCTTGTTCACCATTGACATTATTCTTTGTATTATCAACATGCTGGTCTTATCAAACTTTGTGGAATCTGGTTTGAACTCTGTTTGACAACATTGGATGCTCTACATCGTTTTCGAGAAGTACTACAAGGGGCTCTACTGTAAGTCTAATGGCCTAGGCTGGTTTGCACGTTTCAGGACTCAGTTCCTGCCGGATCACTATAATGATCCTTTCTTGTCTAGTGTGATTTCGATGGTGGCTCCGACATGGTGCCATGGAGCCATTGGAGGCAACCCTTTTCAGGGTGAATGATGACTGTCCTGACTTCCGAATTCACACATTTTAATTTGGTAATTCATCTAAGTAAATTGCAACAGCTGGCCTTACCGTTTTCCAGCCTTTTTAGGGTTGTCCTGCTGGTCCGTTGGTCCCAGGGTTCCTCGCCGAAATGCCTGTCTATCAGAGTGAAGCCGTTGAAAAAATCAGAAATCTCGTTTTTTCGCTGCAGCTTTAGTGAGCGAAGTGACATGTGCATTACTACATGACACAGATCAGGCAGGTACACGCTTTCAGGTGTGGTCCTCTTTGCTTTTTGTGGTGTTCTGGTGAGGTACAACATGTTGTGCACTTAATTCGATGGAACTTGTTCAGCTGTTATATGCCCTCGTGGCTGACCTGACTACCGTCCCGGCAAGGGAATAACGCACGACTCTTGGGCATTTAGGAACTGAGTCCTGCTTGGAACGTTATTTCATCATTCGACCAATTTTCTCCCTTCAACTCGAGCTATGTTTCCGTGGACTTCCTCTTCGACATCATGGCCACCTTCTTCGACTTCCCCAGCTACGGCACCAACTTGGCCACCATCTCCACATCCGACAGCGACTCCAACACGTCCACCCTTTGTGTGGTCTACAACATCACCACCACCTCCTACACATCCAGTACCTCATCCGGGATATCAAGTTGATCCACAACATTATTCAATGACCCCATCATCCATGCCAGCTGCGTCCTCAGCTCCAGCTGATCACCTTTTTGGACATCCATCTGCCTTACATTCCTCGTGGCCTCCTACGACTTCGTTACCGCCTACAACCAGCTCGACATCGCCACCAACTTTCTCGTCCCTTGCAAGCTCACCTCCCGCGATACCACCTCAACATCATATCTTCCCACCGACATCTTCAGCGTCTCGCCTTGAAGTTCCGACTTTCCCGACACCGACAACAAACCTTGTGGCCCACACCGGACCATCCTTCTCCACTTCATGCCCACCTGTTCCCGTTCCGGTACACGAATCACATTGCCCACCTACGTCTCCAACAATGCCGAGCACACCTGCTACATTACCTCTCCATCCACCTCAACCTACGCCTCCGACTACAACGACACAATCTTCGGCACATCCTAAACACACAGCTGTCAAAGCCGCCCCGAAGGTTCGCACTGAGAAACGACCAGAAAGACCACGTCGTTCACCTTTGACTACCTCGACAACCAGTGCACCTCCAGCTCTTCCTGTTCCTCCTGCCGTTCAACAAGACTTGGCAAACGGAACAACGGAGACACGCCAAGGTACAGTAATAAGTACATACATATATATAAATTATAAATGATATTATATAAATGATACTAATAACTCTTCAGGGGAAAAACCACCACTTCTCCCAGCACTTCTGTTTTTTTCCCCCTTTTTGTCCCAGCATCTTTCTGGGGCACCTCCTGTACCATGCCATAGAGCTCCGAGGTGGAGGCCTGGTAGAAACGGGTGGTCTTCTCCAGCCCCACGGTGCGGATCGCCTCGAGCAGTCGCAGGGTGCCCACGCCATCCGCCTGCGCGGTGTATTCGGGTTCCTCAAAGGAGACCTTCACGTGACCTGAGGCCGTGATCCAATGCGTTGAGTGTTAGAAAGTTACAACATGTTACAACCATAAAGATCCACTATATATAATACTTTAATGTTGTTAACATGGAAAAGTCTTGTTCCTAATCAATGAATTTTGTCATTACCATGGTAAGTTGTTGTGAACTGAAGTGGGATTTGGTGGATATGATTTATCCAAACTGAGAGCTGGTTGGTGGTTTAAACATGATTAAACATGGGGCAAAAACATGAGACAAATGATGGTAATTTTGAGCAACAAGTGCAAGATGAAACGAAGAAAGGCTGGGTGATGATCGAAGGAAGTTTAGAAGTCAAACTTCCGACAATATGGACAGATGAAAAGCAGACATGGGAAGAGTCAGCAAAGAGCAGAGAAGAAGGGAGAAGATCAAAAAAGAGAAAGTCTCAGAAGAAAGAAGATCCAGGTGCGCGAAAAGGTAGGAAAGTCGCGAAACACTATGTTTTTCCAATGATTTGTGGCTCCGGAGGGTCGAAAAGTAGGCTCGCTAAAGCGGCGGGTGCGGAGCCCGCTGGGCAGATGAGAGACACATTTCGAAGTCAAAATGTTTAAACACACCACATGTTCGGACCACTTTTGGAAGTTGAGATGTTGAAAAGTGCACGCCGTTATGGCGCGAAGCACATTTCGAAGTCAAAAGTGGAGAAAACTGAGGGGTTCGGAGCAGTTTTGGACGTTCAGATGTCGTTTTGCGTGGCAGGCGCACGGGATTGCGCACCTTGTCAAAAGTGAGCAAAGCGTTCGGGTTTTGTGGCATTTCCAAAAACGATGGCAGGCATGGGACATTTGAAGAGGATCTGCAAAGATGCATTTTCCGTGGCAGGCGCAGTACAAGAGACATGTTCATGAGAGATGTTAGGAGGTCCGGGCGCTGATTTCCTCAGAGAGTTTGCATTTTGGAGCATCAGATCTTCAGGTTTGCTGAGATGATTTTGCGTGACAGGTGCAGCATTTCGTATGACCCGTATTATTTTTCCGTGGCGGGCGCAGTAGTTTAGACAGGTGGGGTCCAAAAATCACAAAACGCATTGGTACGAGGCCGTCAGCTCTGCACTCAACTTTCCATTTCTGAAGGAAGTCTCGCAGAATTGCTTCGTTTTTGATGTTGTCAACTTAAAAAAAATGAGGAAGTCTCGCAGAATTGAATTGCTTCGTTTTTGACGTTGTCAAGTGCAAAAATTGAGGAAGTCTCGCAGAATTGTTTTCTTTTTGATGTTGTCAAGTTCAAAAAATTGAGGAAGTCTCGTAACATAGCTGCGTTGTCAAGCTTGCAGATAGACAGATAGACAGACAGACAGACAGATAGATAGGTAGACAATTGCAACTACAACAACTACAACTACCACTACACTACACGACTGCTACAACTACAAATATACTGCGCTACATTACACTACACTAATTACCCTACACTACGCTAATTACATCTAGTGACACTACACTACACCGCACTACACTACACTACAACAACAGTTACAACAACAACTGCTACCACAACTACAACTACAATTACAACTACACTACTCGACTCTACACTAATTACACTGCAGCACACTGCAACTACAAACACAACTACAACTACACCCACACTACATTACACAACACTAGACTACACTGATTACATTGCATTACACTACAACTACAACCGCAGCTGCAACTGCAACTACAACTACAGCTACCACTACATTACACTACACTACACATACTACACTACACTACATTACACTACACTACACTAATTACACTGCACTACACTACAACTACACTACAACTACAACTGCCACTACCACTACACTACACTGCACTACACTGCACTACATTACACTACACTACACTACACTACACATACTACACTACACTAATTACACTGCACTACAACTACAACTACAACTACACTTCACTACACTAATTACACTACATTACAGCTACAGCTCCGCGACACTACACTACAACTACAGCTACAACTGCAACTACAACTGCAATTGCTCTACACCACACTACATCCAGCAGTTGTGGCAAGGTGACCACTGCAACCATTGCAACCACTCCAAAAAACACAACTCCAACCACCTGTCGGTACATCAGTGGATTCGCTCTGCCATCCGTGATTCACAACAACCAACCTCTCCTATAGGTTTCCTATTTTTGAAACTTCCGCCACCGCCTTGTGCGGTACTATTGGTAAATGGATATAAATGGGCCAAAATGGGCAGAACGTTGAACATGGGATGTTTGTACCGCAAAATGGGGTAAGCCATGGCACGACATAAAACTCTGGGATTTAAAACAACTAAGAAGAGCACAAACAAGGATAATTAGGAAGAAGGACGGCCGTCAAACTGGAAGATCTGGAAGCAGGCTGCATTTGGGGAGCGTAACAAAGGATAGTTTGAGCTCCGAAGAAACTAGGTGGAGTGGGGTTGCCTACAGAAATCCCAACAGTTGGGAACTGAAACCATCGAAATTTGGTGTAAAACCGATAGCTATGGCAATGTGAACCAGTTGTAGAGTGAGTTTACTTGTTTTTTAAGGAAAACCATGTGATGTGTTTGTCTGAAAATACTGTACGCCAATGGTTTGGCTTATCATCTTTTTTTTCCGATTCAAGTGGCGCTTTTGCAGGGTATTCCGGCATTCCCCAATTTTTTGGACAGACCAATATTTCTTTATCATTGGGAATCCAAGTGACCGGAATCCCTGTGAACTAGTCATGTCCAACAATGAAATTGCTTTGGGAACCTTAACCCTTTGCGATGTCAGAGTTGGCCTTGCATCAAATGTAACAATGACCCCCAGCATTTTCTGGATACTGTTGAGAAAAAAATGAGTGATATATTGTAGATGTACAAAGCCACGAACACGGATGCACAAAGAACATGAAGTAAAAACGCAACAACTATATTTATGTACATGCAGTCCATAAACATCGCTATGATTATCTGTTGTATATCGTGCACGATGCATCCCCTAGAAATCCCTAAGCATCACCAATTAATCGAGTTCCAAGTCACTTTGGGCTGCTAGGTTGTAGACTTCGTCTGGCTTCACCTCAGTTTTTATGGAAAAATACAAAACACGGATATATTGGGATAATGAGTACTGCAAGTGACTAAAATCTGTGGTTCCAAAATTGGGCCTTAAATTTTGACCGATGCCCATGTGCATCATATGCTGGGGCTTGCTCACCTTCGCCATGATGGACGCCAGGTTCGAAGAATCAACCAAGTCTCCATAGTGAAGATTCACCTGCCCACAAGACTGGCGATACAAGGGAGATTGAAGGAGATTTGCGCAAGGAAAAACATATGGAGATGTAAGGTGATGTAAGATGCAACATCATGTAAGATAATGTAACATGTCCAAGACGTTTTAACATAGTAAGATAATGCAAGATGATGTAAGATGATGTAAGATCATGTAAGATCACATAAGATGATTCAAATTAGATGATGTAAAACGATGCAAATATAATCGTATGCAGATGGGAGCATAAGTCTAGAAAAAAAACATTGGTTCTAAACATCCAATTGTAAACTTCCCCCTTGCCGAAGCTACCAAACATGTTGAATACACCAGTGATTCCAACGCCTTTTGTAGGCATACAGCATACAGGACTGAAACATTGATCCATAACAACCTTCCGCACCCTTGAGTTTCGAAGCTTGAGCCCTGATGCCATAAACATTTGCTTGTCGTCACCCAGCTAGATGTCCATCACAAGTAGATGATGGAGATGTATGAAAATCGTTGCTGGGGTGCTCAATCATGGATTCAGAGAATTCAATGTGACATCCTCAGTGAACCTGAAGTTGGTGAATGTTTGGCCTATGTGCTACCGATTCCTATATGTCCATCCACTAAAAATCGGAACCGCAGCAGTCCCATCACCGGGCACGCAGCTTCTGCGCCTTGTCGAATATATGATCAATGCGACTGGTGTTGAAACTGGAGGATCTACGGAGGATCCCATGCACTTCATAGCCTTGACTGAGTTGGAAGTGCTTGGTGGGAACCAAAATGGGGACCAAAATGGAAACCAAAATGGGGACCATTTAAATGACCAGACTAGGGATATATATAACATATCCCACTTAATAATGGGGATTTTGAAAAATGGGCCAAAAGGGTTTTGATCATACCCACAAGTAGATTTGAACGGACGCCAAAATGTCTACAGTCACTGTTGGGGTTACTCTCAGGATCTCTCAGGACTGCGGGAAAACAAAAACATGGAGTGATCAAGTTGGTTCAACTCACTTTCCCTTCCATGCATCACATCACCTCCCAGTCTCAGGCTCCAAGGCCGTTGGCTTTTTCCAAGCAACCCTTCTCCAAAAGGAACTCGGCTAAGTAGGACCCATCCTGCCCCGTGATACCTGTGATGAGCGCAGTTTTCCTCATCTCTGTTGTGCCCGCCGTCTGGGAACCAAGAGATTTGGCGACGACCGCTGCCACCGAAGCAGCACGGCGTCGCAAAACGGGTTTGGAGCTTGAGCCCAACTGGCAACAACTTGGATTTTGGGATTCCGAGGTAATGTGGTAGACCCAAAACCACAAACCATCCCCAAGATCACCAGAAATGGGTCTTCAGCATCAAACATTCAGGGTTTATGACATGGGTTTGACCATTAGTTCACTCGGTTTACATCCTCTTTTCACATGTTGGTCGTTCTGAGCAGCTCAAAAGTTGGGTACGAATGATACAAACGGACTCGTCATTGTCAGTCATGGTCAGTCTTTAATCATCCATTGATGGGGGTAAATAACCTGGAGTCAGTCGCACATGGTCGCTGATGAAGGCACTGCTGGTGCATTGATGTCGATGACCGGGTGAGTCCCTGGGCAAAGGCAAATACCTTCACATGCACATTTGCATAGATCAAATTCAGATCTATCTGAGTTCGCATATGGATTTTAATTGGAGGCACCTCCTTAAGAATTAAATGATTCTGCATAAATCATCCTAATTCACTCACCGAAAATACCTTAAAAAATTCATAAATTCCTCATCATATTCACTAACCATCATAATTCACTAAATAAATCAATATGGGAATACGTCCCCTCATCTTTACCATTTCAGTGGCGTCGTGCATGGTACCCTTAAGGTTGATGGTGTTGAAAAGACCACAGGTTTCCACCCCGGGTTTCCGAGCACCTGCTACGCGAAGACCGTCCAGGTGAATATTACCTACAGGTCAGCCCAAAGCGGTCAACTGCTTGGTGTGAGGATGGATTCCCATAGTGGATTAGAATTGATTGTGAAGATCCAAGAAGTGGATCATGGGACCATTTTCGTGGCAAAAACATGTCAATATATGCAAATATCTGCATGTTGTCTCTCAAATTATATAATCCACTGTGACAATCCCACTGAAATCACTTAGAACAGCCAACAGAACATGAATCAACCATCATTTGGAGTTATATTCTGACACTTGAAGGGGAACCCACATCTTTGTTCCCCCTATTGTCAATATAACCAACAAACCGACTATGTCCGTTTTGAATCACCCTTTTGCAGCTGAAATATCCCTATGTTTGATTCTTGAAATCACCATTTTTCATATGTATTTAGCCATCAACCAACCGTGATTTCTGGTTGAAATCATTATTCTAAAATTTAAGTCCTGGATTTTCTTTGTTCATGCCTACCACTCACATCGTTTCTGAATCGTGTCACATTCCGATTGGTGCAGCCTAAATCCCGATTTCTGGCTGGTTCATGCATATGTATACTAGGACGTACGAACTAAGTAGGGTTGGTTCATGGTAAGATGCGGGCATTCAACTTCTTCACGAAGCTCTCCACAAATCCTACATTCAGTCACCACCCTTCATGCATTTTTGTTACAGGTAAAAGTCATCCGTAACTCGGAAGATTGCTTCCCAACTTCCTTTGATAATATAAAAAACATAGTAGTACAATACAATATAATAAAAAAATATATGTATATATGTATGTATATATATATACATACAACAAATACTGTAAACATATACAAAGTTCCTTTATTATGTATATAAATATATATGTCTAAAAAATACGATCTAATGTCAGTAAAGCAATAAACCACCCATATCCATCCATATTTTGATGTTTTACACCACCAATTTATGGTAAAATTGGGGATGGTTTACTACTGCTTCACTAATAATAATTACATTATCACACACACACACATATATATATTATATAACTTGAGATCGGGGCTTCAGGCTGCACACCGTGGAGCACACCTCTTTCTCATGATGCTGCTAGCTCCTCACAAAGGATCAATGTTGCAGCCAATACTGACAGCTCAGGCACCACTCGAACCTTTGGGATGGACTCATCTCCTACGTGGGCCTCTGCAGTTTTTGACCTCCTCAACCGTGAAGGCCAAGTGGAAGACGAAGAAGAAGGCCCAGTAGTCTTCGTGACGTCTTACTACATCAGCCATGCTCATCATCGATTCCATGATCAGCCAAGAGTTCTGCGTTTTGACATGGAGTTCCTTGAATGGGATCGAGAAGTGCGATTCATGTGGGAAGACCTGGTGGACCAATCGGCTCCATTAGATGTGGTTTTCATTCGACCTGAACCACCTCATGCAGCATTCAGAGGGACGGCGGCCACGGTGATCGTGCACCAACATTTTGACGCCACTCGGTCAGCCTGTCTCATCCCCACTGTTCACATCATGGATCCTGACACTTATTTTCGTGAAAGTGCACGTTCAGTCGAACTACGTCTTCAGCCTGCACGAGTTCTACAACTTGCAGAGGTTGACCAGATATGTGCCCAGCGACGACAAGACGGAGCAGGACCATGTACCATTCATATTGGCCATCATATACAAGATCCACAACAAGATGTTGCCACCTTTCATGGCCTTGGCATTCAGGTTCGTGTTCCGCCAAGACTGACGCAACAAGAAGCGGAGCAAAACCTTGTCGGCAGATTGCAACGCCATCGTCGTCATCGACAAGCTCACATATGGGATCCACATTCAAGTGATCATGAACCAGAACAAGATCACCCCACTGCCAACAACCTGGACGAAGCACCGGAAGATGTAACATGGTTCATGGCTCGACGACCAGTGGCAACTCGCAGTATGCAGCAATCTGCGACATCATCAGCCTCTACATCCCCTACAGGGACATCACATCACAATCATCCTTTGTGTCTGAGGACATGAGAAGGGCTGTAGTATTTACAATTGATGGAAGAGCTCTTTCAGTCATGCTTTCTTGGACTGATGCACGAGAACACCATTCAATCGTCGCCATGGCCTCTGGGATTGAACCAGCCACTGTGGCACGACTACATTTTGTTGCCCATCGCCCAAGTGATTTAGCCCGCGTTGGATTGCAATGTTTCATGCTCCAGACCACTCATGAACCCAGACCCTCAGCTTTCCTACGTTTGGCGCTGATTGACATGGAGATCTTTGAAACTCAGTCTCTTCAGCCATTTGCGCTTCGCCGTCTTGCCAAGTGGATGCCGAAGACCACCAATCGAAGGTCTATCTTCAAACTGATGGATCTGGAAACACAATATCAGGCACATGAAGAACGTTGCTTTCTTTGGCACAACCATGTCACAATTGAAACCACTCAGACAATGCCTCTACAGCTCGAAGATGGTGACTACATTCAGATTCATATTGGAGACAAACCACCATCTCTCAGCTGCAGTTCCGAGATTGACTCGGATGCTTCCGTTTCCAATGACGACAATGGACAACATTTTGAACAACCACAGGATTCTGAGAACACTGAGCTCTTCCAGACCCATCTCAAATCTGCAAGCAAGACGTGGCAGACCTTGGCACAACATCTTCGGATTGATGAATACAAGACTGCACCACAGCATGAGAGACCTGCACCAACCAGAATCGCCGCACAGGGCGACACACGTACTGCAGATCGGCCTGCTCGAAATGTGCGCATACATCCGGAAGATCAACGCTACTTAGAGCGACTCTTCAATGAAAACTCTTTGATTGAGTGCGAAGAGGAAGGCCCTATTGCATATTTGGAAACGTGGTACATTCACCACCAGATAGCACGATCATGTCCACATCCCAAAGCCGTACGCCTTCGCCATGACACCACAGATTGGATTGAGGACATTGTAGAACCCTGGATGAATGAAATTGATCACAATCTGGACATCACCATTCACGTGGTACGACCTCAACCACCGTGTACGAACATGGAATGTGTCTTAGCGCACCTGATTGTTGAACAGTCCTTTGCCACAGAGCACACAGTTGGACTCCTGACCATCCAAGAACCTCTGAGCCATGGCATTCACCTACAACATTGTGCCTTTTCCCTGCCGACTCTCATGAATCGTGCAATGGTTTTGCGACAAGTGGGACTTCAAGAACCTTGCCAGCAGAGGCTATGCAGTGTTCGCCTGGGACACATTCCTTTCGGCCTTGTGGACTGGGATGAGATTCCACGTGCAGCATGTTTGGTCATCCAAGTCCCTGCGAGATCAACAACACCACCTGCATCAGCGCACCATGACCGATTTGATGCTGTGGAGCTTATGCAACAATCAACAACACGATGGAACCGCCAGAGTAATCACAGGAACCATCCCGTTCAACATGGATTATCTATGCCATCATCAGGGAGCAGATGTGAAGGTTTTGCCTTCAATCCTGATGCCCCGGCTTTTGACCCAACGGCTCCCAACATTGCCACTGCGTCTGAAAATATTCAAGAGCTTCATTTCCATTGGATGAGATCAGCCCGCACTTGGGAGGGTGAGACTACGTCTTCTGCCATTGTATTGACCTGGTTTGTAGATCAATATCGACAAGGTTTACACATCTGCCTTCAACCAAGGCCTGTTCGCCTCCATGCGGATTTCCGCCAATGGACAGCACAACTTCGTAGTGCATGGCCGGACAGATCACTTCCAGGAGCACCAAGCATGATTCATGTGGTCTCACCTCCTCCTCCTCATCTACAGGCAGAAATTGCAGCTCATGTGATCATTGTGCAAAACCCGCAAGATAAACTGTCCACGGTCCTTCTCACTGGATATGACTCCTCCATCACAACGATTGGACCTTTCATGCAGATGGCGATCACCACTCATGAACATCTTGTCCTTGATCCAGTACTGATGCTAATAATAATAGGCTTGGGCGGAAGATGTCTACTCCCCAATGCTCCCATGACCTGCACGGCTTGGTACAATCAACATCCAGTTCTTCTTGGACAACCATTTCCAATCCGCGATGGCTATGGAATCATCCTCCAGCTTAGTCCACGACAGGCACAGCAGAGCACGTCGGGTGGAACAGTACTCAAAATGTATCGAAGTCAACAGAAGAAAGACACGGAAAAGCCAGCCCCTTGCGAGCGCCAAACAGCTGATACGGTGGCTCATGATCAGCGGCCGCATGAGGGTCTGGATATTTTCCCAGCAATTGGGCAGAAGCGGCTTCTAGATTGGAGTGATCCACGAGGACGCACCTTGGTCCAAGTGATTCACGCGTACCTTGAACCCAATGCCGTTCCTCCACCAACCCATTTGGAACTGAATGAGATCTATTCAGCCAGTGATGCAGAAGAAGAACTACGACTTTGGGGCTTTCACTACAGAGCTTTTCTTTGTGGAGAGCATGACATAGTCTTTGCTCATCCCCTTGAGGAACATGCAGATGCTTTCATTTATGTATATTGTGACACCAACACCAACACAGATGAACCGGTGTTCACACAACACGCCAAACATGCTCTTCAAGAACATCAGCACATGCGATTTCTTTACACGAAGGGCTTCCACAAAGCTGTTGTCCTGCAACAATAACTATGGACGCCACAACTCACATGCATCCATTTTGTTGATGTTCGTCCTGACCAAGTGATCAATCAGAGGGATCCTCGACCCAGAACTCCATGGCCTGCTGCTCAACCATGCCAACCAGCAAGCCGTAGTATGATTGACACCGACCATTTGGAACATCATGACAACACACGGTGCCAGATCAATTTTGATGTTGACGAGTTGCATGAGTTCCTCACTGCAGACAACACGAACATCCTATGGAAGGAATACCAACAGTTTGAACTACCTGAATTTATCCGAGCTGCACTCGACCAATGTCAACCTGTAGAAAGAGTTGATCGTTATGTGATCTTCACTGATGGTTCATCCCAAACATGCCACAAACACAAGCCTCCACTGTGGATCGCAGAGAATGACATCAGTGATTCATGGGCTTTTGCAGTCTTTGCAGAACAATATGGCACACATCCTGGTGAACTCTCGACCCTTGAATTCTTGGGATGGTCGTGTCAATCTATTCTGTATGACCTGACTGCTGAACATTCCATCGGTACCTCCAGAATTGGCTCTGATGCTTCGGAAACAGAAGCGCTGTTCTGGGCAGGACTATGGCGACTCAGTTGCAACAATGAGGTGCCCACTGTCTTTGTCAGCGACTCCAGGCTAGTCGGCGATCAAGCAGCGGGACGATGTGGCTCTACCATCAAACGATCAAAGACATGCCTTACTACAATTTGAGAGCGGTCTTCCAGGCACTTCATGCTGGACTTCCTGGACACGGATTGCGCGTTGAACACGTTCGCAGTCATGCAGGAGACCCTTTCAATGAACTGGTAGATTGGCTTGCCAAACGTGAACCTCACAAGAGCCAATACCTTCCAAGGCAGGCAGTCAACATGCAAACTTTTCAGTCAATCCTTAGACACCTCTGGATTACCACTGCCAAGACACCTGATGTGCCCTCCTTGACTTCAGAGGGATACGCAGTACCTCCGATTGAGCTTCCTCCGAATCAACCAAGCCCAACGCCACAAAGACTGAGAACTAGCAAGACTTTGCTTTTCAATATCAGTTTTGGCACAGCCAATGTCAGAACATTCTATCGCGGAGATGAAGGGCACCCTGGCAAACTACAATATGTCAGAGAACAATTTCAGGCTCATGGCCTTCATTTCCTTGGGCTCCAAGAGACCAGATGCGAGCAGGGCACGTCCTTCCAAAACCAAATCTACAGGATAGTCAGTGGACATGAAGGAGGTCATTTGGGAGTAGAACTGTGGGTGAGTCTAGATCAGCCATATGCTCATCGAGGCCGAGTTTCACGACATTTCAAACGATCCGATTTCGTTGTTGTGTCCCAATCTCCCAGACATCTGCTTGTTCATGTTCAAAACGAAGATCTTGATTTTTGGCTTCTCAGTGCTCACGCACCGCATGGGGGAACTCCCCAAGATTGCAGAGAAACCTGGTGGCATCACCTTTCTCAACTGGTGCATGACCATGTTCAACAAGGAGACTTGCTCACCATGATTGATGCCAATGCGAGATCAGGCTTTAATGACAAGATCCACGTCTTCGAGAAGGACGACATCACCAATGCCAACACTGGACTCTTTCGAGAGTTCCTTGCAGAACACAATATCTGTGTGCCCCTGCAACATCTACACTACATGAAGGAGAACACGCAACATGGCTTCATCCAAGTGAAGACTGTGAATATCGGATCGACTACGTCCTCGTCCCCACATCATGGCATGCTTCCTGTACCAAGTCATGTAGCCTCGATCATTTGGACTTTGGGCATGGGTGACCACAGGGCAATGGCAGTAGAACTTCAGTGGCATGGAACTACAGCCTTCACATCAGAGCCCAGATCTAGAGTCAAGTACGCACGCACCAAAATTTCAACCACCTCACTTGAGGCTGATCTTGAGGAATACCAGCCGCTGCACTGGAAGACTGACATTGAGACGCAGGTCGACCACTTCAATGTGTTTGTCCAGACTACACTCCAACGACAGTGCCCAGTCGATCGACATGGACCTAAAAAGTCCTATCACTTCGACCATGTGGCAACTGCGGGCTCGGAAGCTACGTCTCCAAAGACAGACCAAGCTCAACAAGAAGAAGCAACGATCAGAACTTCTGGCTAGGATCTTCTTTGCCTGGAATGGACAACTTGACCAAGAACGCATGACAGAAGCCACACAATTTGGGACCTCTCTTGTCACCAGTGGCCTCTAGACTAAAGCAGAACTTCATCAAGTTGCACTTCAACTCCGGCGGGATCTGACGGCCGCCAAACGTACACATGTACAAGAGGCCATTACCAGTCTTCCACCAGACAGTGCGGCGTCCAACATCCTGAACACCCTCAAGCCCATCATTGGCCCCACCAATCCGAAACTACGCAAAGTTTCGCCCTTGCCAATGATTTTGAATGAACAGGGCAAACCATGCGCTACGCCAGCCGAACTGAGTGACTGCTGGGCGAATTTCTTTGGATCCATGGAGGGTGGGGATCGAGTTTCAGACCATGATCTCCGACAGGACTGGCTGAGCAGTCTTGGTGACTTTATGCAATCAGATCTGTCATTGACACTTGATGATGTCCCATCATTGACAGAGTTGGAAGCAGCGTACAGACGTGTGCGCCCGCACAAAGCAGTAGGGGATGACCTCATTCCACCTGAACTGTGCCACCAACATCCTGTCCAATTGGCCCGCATGACTTTCACCCAACTGATGAAGTTATGCACCCATGGCCAAGAGACACTACAGCATAAAGGAGGACTCCTGACCGCTGCATGGAAACGAAAGGGTCCTCAGAATGTGTGCTCTTCATACCGCTCTTTGCTGATCAGTTCCCATGTTGGAAAATCTGTACATCGGGCTGTTCGTGACCACCAAGCCGATGTGTATGAGTCGTTTCTACAACATCAGCAGGTCGGCGGCAGAAGACATTTCCCAGTCACCATTGGCGTCCACTACATCAGAGCTGCTGCCCGCATCGCTCAACAAGCCAAGCAATCTCATGCCCTGATTTTTCTTGACCTGCAAGAAGCCTTCTACAGGGTGCTTCGGCCGATAGCGATCGGCGGCCAATTGACTGACTCTATGCTTGCGACAGTTGCAGGGAGATTGAAACTTCCTGATGATGCATTGCGCGATTTGCAATACATCTTACAACTCCCAGCAGCCACAGAGACTGCAGGACTTCCTTTGCATCTTCGACGTGCTCTTCAAGCCCTGCACACAAACACTCACTTTCGGGTGAGAGGACAAGAAGATACCACTCATACGAGAATTGGTAGCCGTCCAGGAGATCCGTTTGCTGATGTCGTATTCGGCTACATGTTCTCACGTCTACTTTCTGCAGTTGAACAACATATGCAAGAACATGGCATTTTGGAGACCATCCATGATTCTGCAGCTCCAGGACTTTTTCCAGAACATCCTCAACAGCACCAGGTCCCTCATGCCATACTAGGACCAACTTGGATGGATGATCTTTGCATCACCACATCAGCGGCTACCTCACATGTAGTTGAACAAAAAGCAAGCCTAGCGGCTGGCATCCTTCTAGAGGTATGCATGACCCACGGTGTCACTCCAAACCTCCAGAAGGGCAAAGCTGAGATCCTCTTCACATTCCGTGGGCATGGATCCCGCACTCTCAAACAGAAATACTTTAGTCCGCAACAGGGCCATCGTATGACTGTTGTCACTGAGTAGGGCACCCACGACATTTCTGTGGTTGGAGATTACGTCCATCTTGGTAGTCTGACCCACCACTCAGGACACTCCAGAAGGGAGATGAGAAAACGCATTGCCATTGGCAACAGTGCTTTCAATGCACATCGACGACTTCTGTTCCAGAATCAAGATCTGTCGACCACGAAACGCGCAGAGCTCTTCATGACGCTTGTGAATAACAAGATCTCATATGGCACAGAGACCTGGGTGCTTGATGATTTGCAGTCCCAGAAGTACTTTCACAGCGCCATCTTGAGACTCTACAAGCGCTTGCTGAAGATTCCTCCAGAGCAGGCAGTCCAAGATGATGAGATCCTGACTGCGGCTCAACTTCCTGCTCCAGAAGAACTACTACGTCTGGCTCGCCTACGGTACATTGGCTTGCTCTAGAAATGCGAAGAGATCACCCCATGGGCTCTCCTGCGTGCTGACTTCCAGTGGACTCGCCAGATACAAGCGGACCTACAGTGGCTTTGGAGGCTTGTCGACAACACGACCAAGCTGCCCAACCCCTGTGACCATTTCCCAGCGTGGGAGTACGTGCTCCGCTACCATCGCAGCTACTGGAAGACGCTTCTACAGCGAGGCCTTCATTTGGTTCAGCTGCATCGACAAGATGACCTACTTTTGCGCCGACTTCATCATGATGTCTTTGCGCAACTGGCTCAATGGGGACCGATCCCACATGCGCCTATTCGCCCACATATCCCAGTTGAACGTCAGATTGGGCATCATGGCTGCATGCAATGTGAACTGCGATGCAGGACCAAAGCTGGAGAAGGAGCTCATCTTTTCAAAGATCATGGCATTGTGGCCAGAGTACGCTACTGGATCACACACACAGCATGTGAAGTGTGTTTGAAGGAGTATCACTCCTTTGACAAGCTTCAGGCACATTTGAGAAGGTCTACCAACTGTCGAGAACAGATGGTCACCAGACCTCCTCGAACTACGATCCAGCCAGGCATTGGCTCCCGTGACAACAATCAGCGGAGAGCACAACATGATGACCTTCTACCAGCACAACAAGCAGAAGGACCACGCCACAGCCTCAACGCCCACATGGTGCAGTTGAGCCATATCATGAGCTCCTTTATGAAAGTTTGACTCTCATGATCTTTGACTTCGAGGGCTCAGACCCAGAATGTCTACAGAGCAGACTTCGTGCCTGTATTCAAACGCATGCGATTGGATGGACTCTCATGCTGATCACACTCCAACATGTCCTTGCGGCCTTCGAGACCCTCCAGGACTACGATGTTGGAATTTCACGTGAAGATCTACGTGCCGCACTTTCTCATTTGGCGGAGCCCTACGCATGGAACTTCCTCACTGAGATCACCTACGAAGCTGCTGAGCATGACCATCTGCATCACCTTGATCTGTATGAACAATGGTGCAGAGACTTTGCGAGCGCATCTACATCATGGAAGCCAACTTTGTGCTGTCCGAGACCTTTCTTCCGAGAGCGTGTTGTGCTGCATGCATACTCGGGGAGAAGGAGACCGGGAGATTTCCAGTGGTTTCTCGATGCCCTAGGCAGGCAGCACAAACTTGAAGGTTTTTATGTTGTGTCCCTTGACATAGTCATAGACTCTACATGGGGTGATATCGGTAACCAAAAGACTCAAAGATTTTGGCTGGACTCGATTCGGTCTGGCTTCGTCATTGGCTTCCTTGCTGGTCCTCCTTGCTGCACGTGGTCTATAGCGAGAGACAAGAAGGTAGCCAACTCCAATCGAAGGGGGCCCAGAGTATTACGCAATCGAGAAGCACTCTGGGGGTTTTGGTCGGTATCTCTGAAAGAGAAGAGGCAACTCTTTGACGGGCATTTGCTTTTGGGGTTCAGTCTGCATGCAATGGTTCTGCTATCGTCTGTGCAAGGATGTGGTGCACTTGAACACCCAGCAGAGCCAGCGGAGGAGAACGCTGCTAGCATTTGGAGATTGCCTTTGATGCAGATGATCACCACACTTCCGGGCTTCCAACATTTCCTCTTGGGAGCAGGCACTGCAAAGCGCACAGGATTGCTTGCGCTCAACCTCTCCGACCTCCCGACATTTCTTCGTGGCAGTGCAATTTGTGCTCACATTCATAGGAATCAGACCATTGGAGTGGATGAAGCTGGCCAATTCAAGACAGCCAAGTTAAAGGAGTATCCTCCTGCACTTTGTAAAGCTCTAGCAGAGGGATTTTTCTCCAATTTTCCATTGTCCACAGAGACAATGAAGGCGCCTCATTTGCCTGCGGAGTTCATCAACAGATGCAAGCAGATGACTTGCACTACCATGGGCCATGCAATTTGCGCCGACTACACAGGCTCTTGAGACGCAGGCAAAGACCCGAAGTCGCATTGAGAACTGCCGCAGCGTGTGTCCGCTTCATGTGCAGTCAGCCAAAAAATATATAGAGGTATCCATTAACCAGGGGGCCCAACTGCATCCCTCGCCGCCACGTGGCCGTTCACATCCTTCCGCGCCAAAGATTTCAGGGACGCGGTGACGTCGCAGCGCAGCAGCAACGAAGCGGAGAGCAGAGCCTGGGATTGGTCTAACCGTGGGGATTTTTCATGGGGATTTCATGGAATTTCCATGAGATTTCGGGGATTTTCATGAGAAAACAAATTATGATATGGGATTTTCATGGAAAATGCACCTCCTGTATTTAAGAATGGGGATTTAACTAGGAAAAATGGAGATATAATGGGGATATAATTATGGGGGTATAATAGGGGTATAATGGGGATATGTGCCATGGTCAAGTTAAATGTTCTGCCCTCCGGTAATCAAACATGACAAGCTGGGAAATCCCCTTTAAATGGAGGTTTCTAGCTGTGAAAATTACCTATAAATGGGCACATTCTCCATTACCATGCTTGGGTACAAGGTAGCGCCCAGTTCGTTAGCCAAGTTGGTTTAGTTCAGTAGGTTAGGTTAACTCTGGGTTTATGGTAGCTATAACTATAACTATACTTAATAGGGTTGCTAAATCAACTTATAACTAGGGGTGCCCACCTTGTATTCAAATGGTGAGACATATGGTGGAACAGATGTGAAAAAATGGTCCCTGGTCATCCATCCCATGCCATGGTAGCCTAAGTATCTGGATAGATTAAATGGGATTGACGACCATCCCCCAATTAATGGCTATATTAATCTTACTATTGACCATAAATGGTGATATATTGTGAAAAAGGTGCCTTATCGTAGATATACTCATAGTTACTATAGTTACTATAGTTCGATGAGTTTACCTCCTGGTAATCGCACAGTTTGCAATGAGGAAAAAAAAACATATTTTAATATGGAAATCGTCTACACGCAGGCCATTTTCCGTAGCTTGGTGGGGTCATAAGGTAATGGGTCCCAATATACAACTCTGACTCAGAGTGATTGATACCCACTGGCAATTTGACGTAGCTATGGAAAATCACCATGTCAATAGGTAAATAGACCTAAATAATCTATAAATGAACAATTTTCCATAGCTATGTTAAATCATTAGAGGCTATAAATACTTAAGCATTGGTTGATGGATGACTATCACTTGACTCGTGACTGGCGGCTATTATATTATATATACGGTATATTATATATACATACATTAATATCATATGTAAATCTCTAAGGGTACCTAGTACTACCCTCCCCAACTGTCACCACTCCTCCCTATTTCTATATTATACTTGTTGGGGAACCATTATTATTATATATTGAATTTGTACGCAAACCATGCCATATGAAATCAAATGCAATCATAAAAAACAAAATGTGGGTAGAAAATGTAGCTGCAATATCTTGGAATAAGAAAAAAACAAATCGATATGGATCGTGGTCTACCAGACTAGGTCTTACTTTTCAAAATTCAAAATTTCTCAAAATATATTTTTTTCCCATCTTTTCTCAGGTGTTCCCAGGTTTTCCCATGTTTTCCCATGGTTTCCCGTGTTTTCTCATGTTATACCCTATCCAGAACCCACCTAGCTCAAGGTAGTACATTACTGTTGGTGAATAAGGTGGAGAATGGTAATGTTGAGCAGGATGATGATGATGATGATGATGATGATATGATGATGATGATGATGATCATGATCATGATGATGATGATGACGACGATGATGATGATGATGACGATGATGATGATGATGATGATACTTGAATCGCCTACAAACAGCCAAAACCACAAGGGGGTTACTAAAAGACCACCGTGCACTAGCCCAGGGCAGCGGCTGCGGCCTGTTTTCATCTTGAGCCAAAGTAATCATCAGACAACCTTTTCAGGAGAGGTCTTTACAAGGAATAATATGAGTATGATTAACACCGTATTTTTCAAGTCCACCCTGACGGCGAACTGTACAAGGTTGTCAGAAAAGCGTATCCAATGCAAATCTCATAGCTCTTCAAGACTTGCCGATGTTAAATGTAGACCGATAGACCGTTTTTGGTTTTAGGCCACCTGCACCTTCGGAAAACGTGTGTTCTCCGATCCTGAAGTTATCTAACTTTGGATCCCACGGCCAGAGCAGCAGCCATTCCGATGTATCTGCCAACCCATGATTGCAAAACACATTTGGCTCAAGAACACGTTGGCTCAAAATGGCTCAAGACTTTGACTTCCCAGCTTTCAAAAAAAAGGGGAGGAAGGGATGTAATGTAGTTGGCTCAAGACCAGTGTGGGCAAAGTTACCCACACTGGGGCTGGGAAAAAAAATGGGTAAGATGGGATTGGTAACTAGATGGCTCAAAACCAATTTCGGCAAAATTTCCAAATTGGTGCGGTAGGGCAAGGAAAAAGTAGGAAGGGAATTGGGAAGGGATGGTTGGGACTGGGCTGGATGTGACCAGGGGTAACATGATAACATAATGTAATGTAACCTTGGGGTAATGCAACCTTATAATTTTCAACATGGCATGGCATGAAACCATCAAACCATAAACCATGTCAAACACAACATTTCAAACATTTTTGGCATGGAACAGGGGAGGTGGTCTGACCCCTCTCAGTTCTTTTCGATTGTTTTTTTGTTGCCACAAGTGGCAGCGCTGTGGAACCAAGCTGTAGAATTCTCTGCAGCATGGCCAGCAGGGGAGGCGACCCCTCTCGCTGACTAATTTTTTTTCAACAAATCAAACAATCAAACCATGTAAAACACATGATGTTTCAATTTTTTGGCATGGATTGGGCAGCAGGGGAAGTGTCTCACCCTGTTCACTGACTGGATCATTTTATTTTGGATTGTTTATTATTTTGTTGCCACCAGTGGCAGCGCTGTGGAACCAAACTGTAGAATTTTGGCATGGCCAGCAGGGAGGTGGTCTGACCCCTTTCACTGACTGGATTGTTTTATTTTTTCAACAGGCTAAACCATCAAACAATGTTTATTTTTGATTTTTTGAAGAGGAGGTGGTTTGACCTCACTACCTGGAATGCTGGAGTTTTTTTGACAGGTGCCGACATGCTAAGCGATCAAAGCAATGAAACCAGGGAGAGCTGCCAATTTCACCATTTTTTGTTTGGCAGCCAGCCTGGAAGGAAGACAAATTCAAACAAACCAATGGAAGGTGGTCTGACCTTCCGACCCCTCTGTGAAGAAATTGCAGTGTTTAATCCCATTACCTTCTGTCAGTCAGAAATGTAACTGGGGAGGGGGGCAGGGCGATCCAAAAAATCACCAACTGGGTGTTGAGTATATATGCATCCCTTTGTTGGAGCTAGATCTATCTTTGTACGATTTATCTTGGATGATATTACCCAAGATGAAGGTGGTCTGAACTCTTTAACCACTGCTTCACCGAAATTTCACTGGATATTGTTTCTGAAGTGCTAGTATTTAGCCAATTGTTCCATTGTTTTTGAAACATTTTCCTGGCCAGCATCACTGTTGAATAGTGTCTAGTTTTTGAACCCGGTGTATCTTTTAATGGATCTACCCTAGATGGGGACGCCCTCAATGTTTTACTTGTGCCAACCTCATCATCGGGCAAGGGAACCACAGAGAACATATGTAAACACCATTGATTTTTGATCAAGAGTCGTATGCCCCAGGATAACTTGATGAAGCGTTTCTTAACCACACTATTTTGATGGATTTCATCAATTCGTTTTGATGCCCTTGTTCCCACTGCCGCCACAATGTTTAGATCATTACCCTTCCCCGGTTTCGCCCTGCAGGACACCTGGGACCTGTGGGCACCAGCAGGCACAAGAAGTTTCTTGTGCCTGCTGGTGTCTACATTCTACAGTTGGCGCTCCGGTTTCTGATGATGAAACTCAGCTTGCAATCAAAACTCTGGAGGTGAAGGATGGTGGGCCTTCAAATCCCTCTTGGTTAACACGGGGGAATCGATAATAATGCATGTTGATGGTCTCCAAAATCCCCTCACCTGCACAACTCAGGACCTGTGGCTGCCACTGCAGGTGGAACTGTTGAGACAACGGTTCCGCCTGCAGTGGCTGCCGCCGTTTCATTGAAATCTCAGCATGGGTGCAGCTGCTCCGCAAAATCTCGTCGAGAAATACAGCATTGAGCATTGGAAATTGAAACACCAAAAAGTTCAGTGGAGTTCCCGCGAACATGCAAACTTAACATTTTACATGTTCCATTTTGGGCGACGTTAAGTGTAGACCAATTTTGGCCCTTACATACTCCCCTTACACATTGCCAGCCCGGGCCGGGGCCGCGTAAGCAGCGTTAACGTGAACGCATCCGTGTAAGGACAGTATGAAGTTCGTACTCCCCTTACGCATTGCCAGCCCGGGCCGGGTCCGCGTAAGAGGAGTAGGTTTTCGCGTAAGGACAGTATGAACGCTAGCGCCGCTAGCGTACATACTCCCCTTACGCATTTACATACTCCCCTTACGCATTCTCAGCCCGGGCCGGCTCCGCGTAAGGGGAGTATGAAGTTCGTACTCCCCTTACGCATTTACGCTGGTACAAACGCTACTTTCCAGAGACACTAGACCTTGGAGTAGTCAGAGAATACAATCCAACGCTCTTGCTTCCGGAGTCTGGCTCACAGGCACATACGTTGATTAGTCAGTGTCAGTTACTACTGTAACAGCAGCCAATCTCACTGACAGAAAAGACATAAGCAAGTCAGCATAATAAGTATCATTAGCAATTCATTGTGACATTTTCGGAAATGAACTCAGACTCGCCGCCTTAGACCATGTTGTCCAAGTTGGCAACTAGAAAAAAAAACATGTCTGATGGTCTGACCTCGGGCAGCAAGCAGTCTGATGGTCTGACCTCGGGCAGAAAGTCTTTTTTTGAAGGAGTCCTTTGACGAATTGGTCAGCAGTTGCACACTGCTGGAATTTGAAATCCACAGGTCCTGAGTTGTGCAGGTGCTAGATCCGGTCTGAATTCATACATCATGACACCAAAAAAGGATTTTGGAAACCATCAACATGCATTATTATCGATTCCCCTGTGTCAACCACGTGGGGTTTATTTGCAAGCCCACCATCATTCAACGCAACAGTCGTCAACAGTCTGATTGTAAGCTGAGTTTCATCAGAAACTGGAGCGCCAACTGTAGAATATGGACACCTGTGGGCACCAGCAAGATACGCCAACTGTCATATTCTGCTGATGCCCACAGGTGCACATGTCCTGCGGGGTGAAACCGGGGAAGGGTAATTAGTGATCTAAACATTGTGGCGGCGGTGGGAACAGAGGCATCAAGAAAAATGGAGGTTAAGAAACACTTCATCAGGTTAGCCTGGGGCATACGACTCTTGATCAAAAATCAATGGTGTTTACAGACATTCTCTGTGGTTACCTTGCCCAATGACGTGGTTGGTACCAGTAAAACATTGAGGGCGTCCCCGCCTAGGGTAGATCCATCAAAAGATCCATTCAGAAGAGGTATTTCCTTTCGGTGAAGCAGTGGTTAAAGGGGTCAGACCACCTTCATCTTAAACAATACCATCTAAGATAGAATCGGCGCCCAAAAAATAATATAGCACACACACACACAACCCAACCAAAACAGTTGGAGGAAATGCTGCATATGAAAAATCATCAAATCACCTCGGAATGAAAAACAGACCCAGTTCATGATTTTTTGGATCGCCCTGCCCCCCTCCCCAGTTACACTTCTGACTGACAGAGGGTGAGATTGGTTTGTTTGAATTTGTCTTCCTTCCAGGCTGGCTGCCAAACAAAAAAATGGTGAAATTGGCAGCTCTCCCTGGTTTCATTGCTTTGATCGCTCAGCATGCCGGAACCTGTCAAAAAAACTCCAGCATTCCAGGTAGTGAGGTCGAACCACCTCCTCTTCAAAAAATCAAAAATAAACATGGTTTGATGGTTTAGCCTGTTGAAAAATAAAACAATCCAGTCAGTGAAAGGGGTCAGACCACCTCCCTGCTGGCCATGCCAAACAAATTCTACAGTTTGGTTCCACAGCGCTGCCACTGGTGGCAACAAAATAATACACAAAAATCATGTGTTTTACCTGGTTTGACTGTTTGATTTGTTGAAAATTGAAAACATTCTAGTCAGCGAGAGGGGTCACCTCCCCTGCTGGCCATGCCGCAGAGAATTCTACAGCTTGGTTCCACAGCGCTGCCACTTGTGGCAACAAAAATAAATCGAAAATAAAACGATCCAGTCACTGAGAGGGGTCAGACCACCTCCCCTGTTCCATGCCAAAGGTTTGAAAAATGTTGTGTTTGACATGGTTTATGGTTTGATGGTTTCATGCCATGCCATGTTGAAAATTCTATTTTTGGTTGCATTACCCCAAGGTTACATTACATTATGTTATCATGTTACCCCTGGTCGCATCCAGCCCAGTCCCAACCATCCCTTCCCAATTCCCTTCCTACTTTTTCCTTGCCCTACCGCACCAATTTGGAAATTTTGCCGAAATTGGTTTTGAGCCATCTAGTTACCAATCCCATCTTACCCATTTTTTTTTCCCAGCCCCAGTCTGGGTAACTTTGCCCACACTGGTCTTGAGCCAACTACATTACATCCCTTCCTCCCCCTTTTTTTTGGAAAGCTGGGAAGTCAAAGTCTTGAGCCATTTTGAGCCAACGTGTTCTTGAGCCAAATGTGTTTTGCAATCATGGGTTGGCAGATACATTGGAATGGCTGCTGCTCTGGCCGTGGGATCCAAAGTTAGATAACTTCAAGATCGGAGAACACACGTTTTCCGAAGGTGCAGGTGGCCTAAAACCAAAAACGGTCTATCGGTCTACATTTAACATCGGCAAGAAGATGGATTCCAGGCAAGAGATGGCAGAAATCAATTCGGTGATCGCGACATGCCTGGCGATTTCATGCACTGTTGTGCGAATGCATTTCATTAATTGAATTTTAAACTACAAGAATGCATGGTTGGAGGCGCAAAGCAGCCCAACTCGGCAGCAAACGGAACGGTACGCGTGGAAGCGGCGCTAACGCAGCCAAACATCCACGGGCAATTGGATGAAAAACAGTGACGGTCAAAGCGAAATTCAAGGGAAGTGACTACGCAAAATCCGAGAACATCTATGAGAATTAAAGCAGATGGGACTTACTAGTCACATTCATCCACTACACATGATGCACACTGCAGTGTAACATAACGTCAGGTTTTGATACCATCGTTCGAAAAACGGATATCCTGAATGCATACGGAATGCAAAACTCACTTCGGAGATGAAAGCTTCATGTCTTGAGCAACACTATGTGTAGAAGCTTGAGTGCAGAATCCCACGCAGACACGCCAAGGGACTTTGTGAGTACATCGGCTCGCTGCTTAAGTGCTTCAATGTATTCTGCATTAATGCCAGGCTTGCTGAAAGCCTCACAGGTAGAAGCAACGTTGATCTTATGAAACTTGCTCAAATGCCGCAACTTGGGAGAAAACCCACGGGCAATGATGGCGAGAAAAGCCTGATTGTCCTCGTAACAGTTCAGCACAATCTCAGGAGCGATGAGCTCCTGGCAAATTTCGAGCAACGGAACTTTTCCATTCGCTCGCTTCTGAGGTCTTGCTCGTGCGTTACTTGCAGAATAATTAGCTAACCTTGAAAATCAGGAAGGAAGGTTCCTGAAAGGTCAGACTGGCATGCCGCCCTGTACAAGGTATTCATCCAATCCCTCTCTGCTGTAGAGAGGTCGGATCCGTGACACGTGCCATGCTGGGCGATCCTGTGTCTCAGGCCCTTGAGCGTGGCAACAACAAGCGCACGGCACAGCCTAGACGGGTACTCTTTGGCTGCAGCCGTGCGAAATGACCCATCAGCTGAACGTCCACGTAGAGGATTCTTCGGGCGAAGCAGCAGCGGATCGGTGTGTTCATGAAGAGCTCGATGTACCACTTCTGGTGGCCCAAGATTGAGCGCGCGCAGAGTGGTGGGTTTGACGCCCACACTGCCAAAACGCCACTGCTCAATACCATGTTGCCAAGCGCCCGGCAATTGCATAATCCAATTCCGGTGGCACTTGGTGCGCCACACAGAAGCTCGGTCTTCTTCAGGATGCTCGGCAGGATGTTCCATCAGTGATCCCGCTCCTGCTAAAACAAGCGTAGCCTCGGTGATCAGGGAATTCATCAGCAACCGTGAACCAATCATGGTCTGGTAGAGCTCCTTAGTAGATCGATCATGCATGAGCCAAGGCAGGTCAAAGGATCTCAGCGGTCTGGGGTGACGCTCGCCCTCTAAAACCAGATGCCTCGCAGCACTGAAAGTCTCGCATGGCGGGCCCGTGAGGCCAGCTGCAAATCTTTTCTTCTGGATGATCTTGAGCATTCTAGTGAAGACAGGTCCACGATCCAGGTTGCCGTGCTTGGGGTCAATGGCCGTGTCGACAGATAAAATGCGCACTGCGTATCCAGGAAGAATGCCATGACAACATTCACACCAGTAGTGGCAGTCGCCACGACGTCGTCGTCCACTAAAAAGGTGCAAAATCCAAATAGTGGGCACACCGTCTTCAAGCACAATTGGCACCGCTTGTGAAGAAGGCACATGAGTAATACCACCAAGCACGTGTTGAAGACATTGATGCTGCGCCAGAACCGGGTCAATGAGCAGTTCAAGGTCCTTACTAACTCGTCCATGGTCATGGACAGCAGCGGCACGTGGTTGGTGAGCTTGAACGATGCGAGAGTGCCAATCAAGCAATCGACCCATCGGTAGGTCAGAAACAAGCTGCTGAATTTCCGTTTTGACCTGTTGAAAGACTCCTGTCATCAGATGGGGAAAGCGCCGAAAACAAAGGGCGTCACGACACCATAGATGCAATGCCCATACCTTCTCCGTCTCGTCTGCCAGAGAAGTAAGTTCAAAAAGAAGCCGTTCAAGATCAACTCCACCTTCCGGTTGCCACGCACGCAGCACCTGATCAGCTTGCGCAAAGAAATTTTGTCGCACACAGTCAGGGAGAGACGATGGCAAGCCCTCCAACTGCCAAGCGCGTAACAGCGCCGCTTCTGCATCTGCTCGTGAAGCGATCTGCTGGTCCATCGGCAACGCACATGGCATAGGAACAGGCTGAGAAGGCAGCCGTGCAAACCCACGCAAGTCAATCGGCACGTCAAAAACTTGCGCTTCACGGAGTGGTGCGTATTTCCATGTCATCTGAGCATAGCAGCCATCAGGTAGAACACGAGAAAGACGTAGATGTTGCTGGAGGCGCGCTGAAGACCAGAAGCATCTTTGCATGCCAGACACGTATCAGAGAACACAAACTTCCGTTCATCCGAAATGAGCTGGTGTGCAGTCCACATGTGCGCTTGCAACTTTTGCTTTGCATCAAACTGAGCCGAACACCAGTCACAGGCAAACTTGGCATCATCTGGAATAAGTGCGGGCTCATCAGCCACTTCGAAAGCAACACCTCCATCTTCAAGCGTCGATCGCAATTGTTTGTGAAGTGCGACAATATGTCCCACCACGTGAAATTGAAGAAGACAACGACGGTAAAGGCTACGTACACGTTGTGGCCCATGCTTTTGGTGTGCAGCAAACCATGACAAAATCTGCTCGACTGTGTCACGATGCAAATCAAGAGGACAAAAACTTGCATCCATACTCGCAAGCCAGACTAGCGCCCTGCGTAGAGCTGCAAACCATCCTTGCGGGTCATGCGCAACGGACGTCAAGAAGTCCACCAACAAAGACGGACCTGCAGCTAGACAATGAAATGCATAAAGGAGTCGGGCTTTCGCCAACCGCAACGCCAAAGGTGGCAACTTCCACATACACTGCAGCTCAAAGTCAGTGTGTTGATCATCCGTCCAACATCCGTCGTTGATAATGGATCTCTGCCAAGACATAATGCTAGAATGCAGACTGTGGTACAACCGATGAGGGAGCAAATCCCATCCACCAGCACCATGCAAAATCACCGGCACGATGAGGCACTCGAAAAGCTTCAAACGAGTGACGACTGAAACATGTCGATTCCTCAAAATCGGTTTGCCAACCTGTCGCATCGCCTGAACTGCCTTGACACGTCTATGTGCAACTTCTCGTTGGAGAGTGCAATCAGCCGCAAAGATGGTCCCAAGATGTTCGTAGGACGCCACACATTGCAGTTGCATATTCAAAGGCACAATGTCAATCTTTCCAAGACGCTCAACCAAAACTGAGTGCCGATGAGCTGGTGCATCAAGACCTCGAAAGGAGACAACAGCTTCGGTCTTCTTCGTCTTGAAATTCAATGACAGACCAAATTGCAAGAAAACATCATGAGTCAAATGAGCGACTTCCGCAAGGGTGGTCTCAAGAATGGCGCACTCCGTCACCACAATCGGCACTGCAACATCGTCAACCCAAGCCACGGGGGGAGCCTTCAAGCCCAATGCGTGGAATCCCTGCTGCAGTGGAATACATCTGTCCAGTCTGTCATGCAAGGCTTGCAGAACATGTGTCATCATTGCGTTAAACGCAATATCTGCCAGTGGCGAGCCAGGCCGGCTGCCACGAGCAGTACAAAAGGCTTCATCTGTTCCCGCAAGTCCAAACCACGTATAAACATGTGCATCTTGCAAAAGTCTTTGATCTGCAACCGAGACGTCCTCATGAAAGGCTGCAGATGTCGCCTCAAAAGTTTGACGAAGGGCCTCAGGATCACATCCAGCATCAGTCAACAACGCCTGCAAATGTGACGGCATGGCTTGAGCAGGACCAAAGACGATCTGCCGGACCATGCTGTGAAAGGCACTCTTCACATCCAAGAACAGAATAGCCGAGGCCAGCTTGCACTCACGTACCTTGGCATGAAAGGAGCGCAAGTAGTGAGTAGCGAATAGTGTCGAGCAGGTTGGGAAGCCCCCGAGCTGGAGGGGGAGTCGCCATTTCAAAAGAGATGGCAAGAACCTGGCTCGCAACAAGGAGTGCGCGAGTTTTCCAATCACGTCAATTAACATGATCCCTCGCATGTTGGCCACCTCCCGGCTGTTGTTCTTCTTTGATATTGAATGGAGCAATCCGCCTTTAAATTGTAAAGGCTCAGTACCTGTCAGCCACATCTTCATGAAGAACTGCAAAATCTGCTCAGAGATCTGCGGCCCTGCAGCTCGAAGACATCCTGGAGCAATACCGTCGATGCCCGGCGCTTTGTGCGCAGTGAGGCGCTGCAAGGTGTTTTCAACATCAATTCGGGAAGGCAATTGATCCAAAGACAAAGCAAGTGGTTGGTCAGGTTGCCTATCAAGTTGAGACAAGTGACATTGCTGCAACAGGGCTGAATATTCGACAGCCACTCCGGCTTCAAGCTGACAGTAGTGGGCTGCTTGTTGCTCAACTGTGGGTCCAGAACAGCGGATGTTGCTTTTCCTGCGATTCTTGGCTCGTGGCAACAAAGGCTTAATGGCATCCCATATGCGGTGAATCCCCTGCTCAGCAACGACCCCTGTGTTCTCAGCCAAATCATCGAAGAATCTGCGGTCATCTTGACGGACAGCATAGCAAACACGCAGGGTGTGCAGACGATATCTCTCCTGGGCTATGGCTGTAGCAAGATCGCAGTGAAATGTGCTGGGAGGAGCATCTTCGTCATGTGCAACACGAGATCGCCAACTGCAAAAACAAATTTGAAGCCTAGCAATGCGGGAGCCAGCCTTGGCATGTTGCAGAGTGCGAAGAGCTCTCTTCTTATGAAGGATCAACTCATAGGTAGCATCCGAAAGATGCTTCTTGCGCAGGCGGCGTTTGGGAGTGGAATGCATACACTGCTTCAAATGCCACTGTAGCTGAGCTGCGTGTGTGTGAACGTCACATGCCCATGAGAACAAATGATCATCTTCAACTGCTGGGGCAGCAGAACCAGTAGTCGAAGCGGTCTGGGTCAACTGAATCCAGACATCAGCACAGATACATTGATGATCCGGACGAGCAATTGACAAATCGATGTCATCAGATACCCAAGTACAGACGTTGTCCAACAAGATATTGTCAGAGAGACAAATGAAGTCCAAGCGCCCTTTGGAGCCTTCTGCATGCGTCCACGTAGTATGCGATCCAACATGTGACTCCGCATGAGTCTGAGGAGCAATCAACCCATGGGTGACCAACCAATCATGAAAAACCGCACCACGCAAGGTCTCTGGTTCAGCACCGAAGTCACCAACTGCTCTCGAAGTAACTGAGCCAAGTCGACCATTAGAATCACACAGAACAATCCACGTCCAAGAGCGATATCTGCACGGAATAAGCGCACTTGTGGCCGACCACCAACGTTGAATCTCTGCCTCATCATCACAGCAAGGGGCATGCAAAACCATGAGAAGCACCGATAAACGAGGATGACGAAGTTGAACTAATAGCCGTCGATCATCACCATAGATGACGCGAAGATGCTCATGATCAATGCAGAGAGAGACAGAAGACATTGAAATAGTCTGCGCGATCCAGAGCTGTACTCCACCATGTCCACGCGAAGAGGCACTCGCTGATAAAACATGAAAACCTTCAAAGAAGTCATGCCCTGACTTACGATATCGTGTCTCTTGGACACCAACACAATGAACTCGAGCCGCTCGAAATTGATCAGCAAGATGCTCTGCACGTGCACCCAAGAAAGAGGAGGCTGTGTCATGCTGCGGGAACAATGTGAGCACGTTGGCTGAGGCGACCCTCAAGCAGCAAGACTCGGGCACCTCACGATGCGCAGCCTTGTCGATTGCGCGTAGTGCAAAGGGTTGAACATGTCCATCAGGCGGATGAGCAAGTGGTGCACCAGTATTGAACCTCCATTGTGATCCATGCAATACAGGTGCGTCGGCATCGCCACGCAGGGATTTCTCATATAACCAAAGCCATGGCAAAGCTGAACTGTCATCACCAAGACAACATTGAACCACGGAGCTGATGTCTGTAGTGACACAATCATGAGCAAGGGCTCCATATGCAACTGCGTCAGTCAGGTCATTCCACGGGTGGTCTGAGTGTCCTTTGACATGATGCCACGCAAGATTGACAAAGGAGAGTTGTTCCAGCCACAAAGACAAAGATCTCACAAGGGGTGCAAGGTCATGATTCAGAGAAGATGCACATCTGCCCTGAGCCGCTGCTCCTGCGTAGACATTGTCAAACAGAAAAGCAATCTGCGTGTTGGCAAATCCAAGTTGTAGCACAAGATGACAAGCCCAGTGAATCGCAAGGACCATGGCAGCCGCCTCAGCTCTAGGCGCCGAAGCACTGGAAAGGCACCAAGCAGTCAAATAGCCGCCAAATCGGGGTCCAGCATCAGTGTACACAATCAATACAACGCCTGCAGCAGCAATCTCCCGACTTCGTTTGAAAGCTCCATCAGTGTAGAACTCAAAAGTGAGTGGAATTTCGAATGTCCACAAAGGCATATCACACAGAGCTGCTTGCGTAGAGCATGTACACTTCACACCATCAAGGTCATACTTAACCTCTGGCGCCCTGAACTCATAAAGCCGTCGGCGTAGACCATCCACGGAGCTGCAATCAACAAAGGTCCAGGTAGGCGGCTGGAGCAGATCAGCAAGATGCAGAGGATGAGCCAGAAATGCGGAATGCTGACACGTAGATGCCCCAGATGATGGATCATTTGCGTGAGCTACAACCACCTCATCACGGTGCTCGGTGTCACACAGATCATCATGACACGAAAGGGGGATCTGCTGTCCAAAAGGCAAAAGGTTGTGGCTGATGGGACTCGAAGAGATCACGTCTCCACGGTCACGGACATGCGTTGAGGCTGAAATGGCAGACAATCCAAACAACGTGCCAGCTCTGCCAAGGGCGTCGACCAGATCAGCTTGTTGTTGTTGAAGTGCCTCAGTGCTGTATCTAACTGCTTGTAGACGAACGTTGAGTTGAAGCAAATTGATTCCAGCACAGGACGCAAGAAGTTCAAGGCGATCATGCTTTTCCGCAAGAGTGAGTGTCGTGGTGGTAGTGGTCTCAACTGCAACCGTAAAGCACATTCCGTGTCGTACAGGAAACAGGTTGCCTGCTGTGAGGTCAACCAGGCCATGAGAAGATGTGCATTGATTGGTCAACATCACTGGCGGACACTGAAATTCGACGACCGCAATGTGAAGTAGAGCCCAATGGTCGATGGCGTTGGGAACCATAACACAAATCTGGCCAGGCTGCCAAGGGTCTGTGTCAACGTCCATCACAGTCACAATGACAGACTTGTGAAGAGGATGGGGTTGCTGCAGTAACACCACATGAAACTGTGCCTCTTCATTTGCTCCAAGCGGCACTGGGTGCACGACATGGACTTCAAAAGGGCAGTCTGCAAGAAACCAGTCTAACCAGGCCTCGATGAAGCACGTACGCCAATCGTCCAGCTGGTCATCAAGCGTGACAATCCTGAAGTCATCCGACCAAGGGCGTCGAAGATGGTCTGAATACCAGACGGCTGCGCAAATGCGCTGTTCTGCAGGTTGAGGCAGTTGAGCAAAAAAGAAGTTCCAAACATCTTGCAAGGTGGTCCATGTTGTAGGCCACATAGGCGCAACAATGGGAAGCTGCTGAGGCGTAGGTGAGGCACATGCAGCAACTCGCTGAGGAACTTGATGGTACTCATCTGCAAGGTGATCTCGAGGCCCTGGTTCAGTATCTGCAGTGTGCATCCTACGCGCTCTCTGCCAACGTCGAGAAATCTGCATAAGAGAGCGTCCAGACGTTGGGAGTATCGGGCGTGGCACGAACAATTGTGCAGAACTTGCTGCTTGGGGATCGCCAGGGCACCGAACTGGTTGAACATGAATTTCAATACTGGCAGCTGACGGAAGGTCATGTCGTATAAATTGTTCAAGAGGAACATGTCCCACTCTGGCTGAGCAACGTTGAACATCACATATGGGATTGAGCTCCATGATGGCAACCAGATCCTCTGTACATAACCACCGAGGTAATGAAAGTGCCCGTTGGAGCAAGCGATCAGCTTCGCCCTCATGAAATATGACAGAGATGACCCCCGCAATGACCGGCTCAGCTGGCAATTGTTCGATAAGAACATGTACGGTGTCAATGCGCAAAAGGTCATGAGGTGGCCGTGCATGAACGATTCGAATCTGAGTCGGATCATCACGCTGAAGGAGATCTTTCCATGGATCTTGAAGTAGAGCAAGCCAATCTGAGTCATGACGTCCAAGTCGCACAATTCGAGGTTGATCACAAACAGGGAAGGACAAGTGATGAACAAAGCAAGTCCAAACATACAGCACTGGTCCCTCTTCCTCAACTTCAGTGACTGCCGAGTCAAAGAACGAATCTTCAAGTCCGCTAATCCATTGAGAGTCATCTGGAGAACCTTGTGGCAGAATATGGAGACGAGGAGGAGCATGACCAAGATCAATGTCAACGTGTTGAGCTTGTTGCATCATCGACGTATCCTCAAACTCAATGACTGGCTGTTGAGGCATGATGGTGATTCGAATGTGGTCACCAGACTGCACCTGCAGAATCTCATGGGGAAGCAGCTGTTGGGAACCAACATGGAGTCGACACTGCCGAAGCGTGCAGAATCGAGTAGTGCCAAGGATATCCCAAACATCAATAGGTGCAATGAACTCGGACACCAAAGCCGCAACATGCCACACACGACGCTGAATTTCATGTTCAAAAAGGGCGGTGAGCAAAGTGGGCATCAAAGGACTCCATCCTTGTACCAACAAGAGATGAATAGGAGTGGGCCGTTCGGCATCTGGAATTGGTCCAAAACGCACAAAGTGAACCTGAGCCTGCTGCAAAGGATCCATGACACCCACCCGTAGATCACAAAGATCCTGGTACCACAAGCCATGATGTAAGTCCAGGCTGAGCAATCGCGACTCAATGGTGCGCGGATAACGTTCATGATGTAGGTACCATGTGTTAACCAGCAATTCACCAGGCTCACCATCTGCAAGTGTGGCGCAATGCTCAACAAAGGCCATGCGTACCGGAACCATCCAGTGTCGGTCATGAGCCTGTGGAGGTCGACGACGAGATGGCGTATTCGAGCCTGATTGAAAGGTCGCTGCCAAGCTGGAGAACATTGCACTGCACGTCACGGGTTGCATTGATGAATGTCCCATACAATTGGAAACGGCTGAGGTACATGAGCGTGACCCACTCACAATCACGGGATCATGAGAGGAACTCGGCTCAATGTCACCCGCAGGATTCCCAAGCTGAAACAAGAAGGCACCATCATGGTCAGGAAATGCACTTCCAGCACTCGTGCGCCGTTTCTTGGCAGGCAATGAATCTTGCTGTTGAGCACAGGCAACAGGGCCTTCTCGTTTCACTTCAATGCGAAGATATGCACCATGCTGTAGGACACGAGGAGAGAAGTCACGAGTAACCCACAAAATATTGTTGCAGAACAGTTGACAGTCATCAGGTGATTGAGCGCAAGGGTTCTACAACCGCAAGATCGCAAAAACATCATCTCGCACCAGCTGTTGTGGTAATAGACGAACATGTCGAACTGAACTCATGCGGTGACCGGCTCGATCGGTGTGCTTGATGTCAATCAATACCAGTCTATCAGAGGATCCATCAGGAACATCACCAACTCGCTGAAGAATAATTGCCTCCTCTGCATCGTGTTGATCGACCAGCTGTGCCTGCAGGTAGTGATGACCAATGGCAAGATCTCGATGAAGACCAAGGGAGTGCAGGATGTCAAACAGCAGAACATTGTATGTGCGCCATCTCACAAAACAATGATGCGTTGGTTGCCGTAGACCAAATACTTGGACCCCTTGCAAGTCTTCTTCATCAAAACTCGAGCTTGTCAATGCGGGACTTTCCTCTCCATTTTCGCCGTCACCACGAAGTACAGCAGGAACAAGGTCAGGCGCAGTTACAACAGGGTCACTTGTAGTTGCATGTGATGATGAAGAAGGGAGAGCAGAACCCCTCAAGTCTTGGAAAACAGCAACAAATGAGTGACCGTTGGCCATGATATGTGTAGGCACAGTAGTAACCGGAATGACAATGCCGCCATGGAAAAGGTCACACGCATGAGTTTGTGCAAGTTCTTCTGCTTCAACGCCGTCTAATAGCTGACGTCCACTCACATGCCGTGGGTATGAGGCAGCCCAGATGTAGTGCATGTCATCTTCACAGCCTGGAGGATAGACAGTGACAACACCACCGCATTGATCATGGGCACCTTGCGTGAGAATGACATCAGCATGAATCACAGCGGAGGCAGGTTGGGATCGTACTCTGGGGAAAACAACCGCAACATTCAAAATCTCGTCGTTGTGTAGTTGATCACGCCAGGTACGTAACAAAGACTCATGCCATAGACGAGGATCATCAGGAAGTTGCAACAGGCGGGGAACTTTCCAAATACGTTGGTGTTCGTGATGAAGGTACCACGTCCGCAAGGAATAAAGGTCACCCACAGGAAGTCGAATGTGATCATCTCGCCATCGTTGTTGAAGATGATGGACATGGCCAGGAAGGTCATCAGGAAGCCGGCGATCCAAAAGATGTGAAGTCTGAGGGCTTGAAGAGAGACTTGGTGTGGAACTCCAGTCGCTCTCGTAGTCTGTTGCTTTCCAAAGGCAAGACAGGGAACAGCCTCTGGGATATAAGCTTGATCACGATCAATCAGGCAAGTCCAGTCAGTGTGGAACTTCTGAAAGGAGCTTTTCCCCTGAAAAACTTGAACTCGCTCATCAAAACGAACACATCTGGAACGCTTGCTTGTTTCACGTTTGGCGGGAAGCACAAAATTTGTCACAACGATTTGGCAGGGCTCACCCAACTCAGCAGCCAGATCAGTTGCTTGATCAATCGCACTCCACGGGGCCAAAAATGAAGGTTCTTCCAAAATTGAGTGTCGCCAATGAAGGTCAACAGCAAAAGGTTCGAAAACCTGAAGTGGCCTCTGATGTGTGTACAATTCTGTCACTTCACATCGGCCTTCCCAAAATGCAGCGAGGATGGTGAAGTAGATGGTCCACCCTCGTCGTCCTTTGTGCGCGGACGCTTGGTTTTGGGCTCCAACTTGTCTGCCGATTCCGAGAGAACAGTCAAGCTTGTGACCACCTGATCCAAACCCTCCTGGATCTTCATGGCGTTCTCGTCCTTTGGCACTTCCGGCTCTTCGAGAACCTCGGACTCGTCCATCTCGTCGTCGGTGACATAGTGTACGCCTTCTTCTTCGATAGCATCCGCTCTTTTCTTGGCTAAATCGACTCTTCTCTGTGCCTTGCGCAAGGTCGAAGTAGCATCCTGCATGCGTTTCTGAAAGGCAGCCTCCGAAGCTTGAAACTGGGAGGTGTATTCCTTCCACTTGATGACAGACTGCTGCAGGAACGTGCGCCACTGAGCCCATAACTGCATGCGGCTGTTTTCTACCTCTACCAGAGCCTCTTTGGCTTTGCCGTGTGCACGCACAGCAGCCAAAAGATTGTTCGTACTTTCCTTGTCGTCCTTCTTCTTTTCTGTCTGCACAAGAGTTTGAAACTCTGGCGACAAATTCTCTTCTTTCCTTGCAGCTTTCATGATCTTGTTCAGCTTCTGTTGTGCACTGAGCGCAGCCTTGTAGTCCTCGGGGTCCAACACTTCCGGGGGTGCTTGCTGGGGCACAGGCACAACTTGGCTGTCCAGAGATGGTGTCATGAAAGGCATAGATTGCATAGCAGGCATCGGTGTAGGCATCCAAGGAACTCCCTGATGAAGTGGAGGATTCATCAACAATGGTGGCGGTGGAGGCGGCGGGGCAGCCATGGAAGGCACTGTAAACCCCTTCCCAACACCTTTGGGATCCTGAGCATATGCCGTGGACCACGGACCACCAGAATTGGCCCACTGAGGATGAAGCTCCTGAGCAGCTGCTGCATCGCTCTGCCATGCTTGTTGTTTCTTTCGCGACTTCTGTCGAATACGATGGCGCGGGCTTTTGGCGCGCTGATTCCATGAAGGCTGTCCTCGGGCTGCCGCTGGTTCGATGGCGCAATTTTCCCACTTGCCACCGCACAAATCGCAGTACCAGGCATTGGGACTGCGCATTTTTCGACACGTGCCACACAGCCAACCGGCACTGGATGACGCAGCCATCTCGAGTGCTATCAGGCGAAGAAAGTGCCAGTCTTTGGAGTGGTGCGCCTGAAGCGTGGTAAAGACCGATCTCAGTTTCTTCGAACTGAGTTGGATCAAACCACGACGATGCAAATGCCACGCGCGTCGGGCAGCAGCACGGCGTCGCCGCAACGATCTTCGGATCGTAGGAGATGCCGTCGCACTCAACAGTGAGGATCACAAAGACAAAGGCAAGGAAGTAGCCCAAAAGGGACATGCACCACAAAGCCACGAAGAGCAGCCAGCGCAAAAGCCGAAGTCCACCCAGCCGTAGGAGAAGTAGGTCACCTGGTGGTAGACAAAGAAGATGCCAGAAGCCACAACCCAATGAAGCGCAATGCTCAAAAAGGGGAAGGTCCAGCGCAACCACCAGGGAACAAAGGCAGCAATGTGCCCGCGGGTGCAACGATACCCGCTAAGGCAAAACTGAAAGGTCAGGGACGGGGGGCACCCTGCCTTAAGCCTTGCAACGGAACTGCCTCAGTGAAAAGTGATGTCGACAACGATACAAACTCGGCTTCGGTTGTTGATCGGGATACTGCACGCTGCCGTTTACTACACCGCGAAATGAAAACGATTGAGGACCTTCAAGCGCAAGCAGGTACCCTGAAGTTGATTTCATGTCGGGTGCGCTGCCAAAGTCAGCACCAGCGTACAAAGACAATCGCAAGTCAGAAGGCTTGTCATGAATGCGCATGATGTGGCAATGGTCCAAAGTCGCAGCTACATAGCCAGCAAGTCTGGTCATACGCTTGTCATCATTGACGGTCCATTTGGTGATATGACCTGCAGAAACACTGATCGCAACCATCAAGTCTGGTCTGCTGATACGACCAAGCCACATGAACTTCATCACAAGCTTGGCGGCAACATTAGATAACTGCCCTCTGTCAGCCTGATCAGCACCCAAGAGACTGCCTTCATCCACATGAGGAGTGCGAGCATGCTTGACAGGTTTACCAGAAGGTTCTTCGAAAAGTTGGACACATTGCCTTGCAAAATCAGCGGGGTGAAGAGCTAAACCTCCATCATGCTTGATGTGACCTCTACCCAACACTTTTGAGAGTGGTGCTGGATCTTCAAGCTGCGCAACTTTTCTCAAGACGTCCCAAAACTTGGAATGGTTGGCACGAGGACCTGACAACGCCAAATCATCCACATAAACTGACAATGCCAATCGCAGACTTGGAAAATCAAAGCATGATGGTAGCTGCTCAAATTCAAACCCCCCCAATGCTTGGGCAAGGACTTTGGAGAGATGGTTCTGCCAAGACGCGCTGGCTAATGGATGACCGCACAATGATTTGATGAGCGGAGCGCAAGGCTGATGGATATGCTTAGCATGATCTGGAACCAACCCGATGGGTAAAAGCACATAAGTAGGTTGGGATGAACTCAAAATAGACTGAACTTAGGCTTTGATGCCACCAAGAAATCCATAAGCCACAATCAGGCTGAGTCCACCAAGACTGGTGGGAGCTGAGGCTGCAATTTCATCAAGCTCTGCCGCTTGATTTTCCTCATCCGAAACACTATTCCGGCTTTTCAAAACCTTTGATGCTCACAATAACCATAAGAGAACCAATGTGAATCTTGTTGCCAGATGATTGAGAGCCAAGGCTAAAATCTCAGACTTCGGACGAATGTTGGGCTCATCCCACATCCCATTGGCAAGAAGATCCTGTTTCTCATTTTCAATGGCTTTGAGAGCCTCTGGATGGCCCTTCCACTCATTGCCGTCCAGCAACTTGTGCACAAAGGCAGGAGCTCTGATTTCATGACATCCAGTCTCAGCCATCATCACATCTAAAGGCACTGAAGGATGACCCTTCACAAGCTTCTGGCGATGTGACTGTCGTGGGCGAGCAACACACAGCATGCTGAAAACGTGTCTATTGGTAACATGGGGAAACAAAGAACTGATCATCAAATTGCACAGTGGTTTTGGGTAAAACGCTGACACCCTGGTCCATTTACCTTGAAGTGGTGCATGAGGACTGTGAGTAATTACATTTTAATGCTGCAAGATTCGTGGCCAAGCGCAGTGAAGATGTGACAAACCTCCAAGGCTTCTTTGCTGGCTGACCGTCGGCTTCAAGTCCGACTGCGCATCCATTGAAGGTCGCTGAACGCAAATTCCTTTCCAGAATCCACGACTGAATCGAAGGCAAAGCCTAACCAGTGCAAAAACGAGGCCATTCGAAACTGCAATCCCCACCGTTATCAAGGCAAATGTCAGCCACCCGAATAAATTGTGCAACTAATGCTGCGCTCCTGACGAATTCGTGTTGTCAGCTTTGGATACCTTGCCTGAGTCAAACGTTGCCATTGGGACCATGGCTTGCATTCGACGGAACAGTGGATGGAGCACCCTGCCAAAGCGCCAACCTGAGCGATCAGCTGCTCGATACTGTGAGGATTCTCCAAATCAGTCCTCCTTGCACAGCCGAATGACCTTCATGCCATGTTATGGTCCAACTTTTCTTAAGATGTGAATCTTTGGCACAAGCGAACTCAAACAAAACATCTTTGCCAACACGATTTTGCTTACCTTTGCCATGTTTTGGATTCTTCTTCTCTGGAGTCACTGTGGCGCCAAGGCAACCGAACTGACCCCCCTGATCAAAAGATTCCTGAAACAACTCTTGAACATGATCCCGAGGCAACACTGTAGCTGCATCGCAGGCAATGCTTGCAGTAACTGCCATACCTGATGTGAACCCATGAATGGGATCCTCATCCTCAGCAGGAACATCTTCAGGAAAAATGTCTGGAGGAGGACACTCAGGAACAAGATCGTCATCTAATAGATCATGAGATGCAATGGAAGTTCATATTCAAAATCCAAACCAAGTGGAAAAGCTTCATCTAGTGGCTCTTCCAATTCACCTTGTCCGCGAGGCGTAGGTGCAGGTGAAGCATGGCCATGAGCTTCCTCATGCCTTGCTACGCACTCAGGAGTATGATTCGACGTGTATGCCAAACAGGCACGACAACCTAGTGTAGGACCCAACCGCTGAATGCGGCCGTAGGTGATGTAGACTCGCTTGGTCTTCTTTCTGACTTCAGGCGTGTCCTCAATCAAAGGAATGGGCAAAGGATCATGTCGTTCCAAACAATCTGCTGAAGGATCAGCAAAATTCTCCAGCGCTTTCTCCGCAACATCTGACAAAGGAAAAGTGTAAACTTCCCGGTCAGGCTGTCAGGAGCTTGAACGCACACGATCTTTCCCTCACGCAAGTCTAAATTCCAACTTCCATCCAGCCATGAGAGCTGGTGATGCATTCGGATCCAACTTTGGTTTGTACTGAGATTTGGTTCGCTAAAACACCACTTGACCAAGTGCGTAGTTTGCACCCTTGAATTCCGTCCCAAAAGCTTTCTCCCATTTGACAATGCTAATTGCAACTGCCGCGTATCTGCAAGTGATTGGCCACAACTTGGGTAAGACTGCAAAACCAGCTTGTAGATGCAAACATCTGCAACAGTCTTCAAAAGTTCGGATCATGCGTTCGCACTGTTGCGAGGCCATCTACGAGGCAAAGCCGTCTCCGGCAACCATCCCAAATCACGAATAGCCTTCAGCAGTTCTGGAGCAGCGTCACTTCGGCAAACCGTGTCTGGGTTTTTGAATCTCAGGCCAACAAAATGACGAAGACATGAATATACAAAATCTGAACCTTTCGATTCGATGTTGCTGGATATGCATTGACTATCCCACTGAATGAGTCATACACTATTAGAACAAGAAACTCCTTTCCTCCGGAAGATTTCGAGACAACCATGTGATCGATTGCGACCTGTTCACCAAACTTGGAGCTTTCTGGCAAGTCTGACTCTGGGCCAGGAACACGATGACTGCGAATCCTTTTTGAAAAGAGCTTGGCACGATTGCAAATGTCGCACGAGGGATGCTAATTGGGAAATGATTGATTCGATGTTCGATTGAAACGGCTTCGGCTCTTGCACGGACAACCGCATCAGAGAGCATCGGAAGAGGTTCATCTGGAGCAACTTCCCTAATTTCAGCAGCTCTGGACGAGCGTTCTCCTAAATCCCCGGGCTCAACAGCAGGCTCAACTGACGAATCAGGAACTACTGGCTCCTCAAGAAGTTCAGGAGGCGTCTCAACACGGAAGTCTTCGGCAGGATGTTAAACAGCAGCCGGAACTCCAGGTATCACTTCAAAATTGGACTGGAAGAAAGGCACGTTTTGGGAAACCCTGGATGCATAAAACTTGTTCTCTTCATTACAGCTGACTTGACACTCTGCAGGGTTACGCACGTAGTATGGCTTACAGCCAGGGAGCCAAACGAAACCAAGTCCATTCTGTTCCACATCAAATCCAAGCGACCGAACCATGGGGCATGAGTCCAAGATAAAGTGATTGGGAAAGCGAAGAGTCCTTCTGTCCACCACCTGTAGAAAAACGAAGGCTTTCATGAGACTGATTGGGGAAACCATCAAAGAAAGAACGGTCATGCCCTTGATCATTCAAAGCTTCAAAGGAAGCCAAATGTCTTCCAGCACCTGAATCCGCAGCCCACTCAATCAGCCCAGCCTGGGATGGCTGAAGCATTGTCGCAGCAAGGATGGCAACAGTCGCCAAGGTCTTGGGATCTGCGCTACCCTCACGTTTCGGCTTTGGAGGTGGAGCTTTTGAATGACTGCAGGCACATTTTGCACCATGCACGCAACCTGACGGCATCTGATGGAAGATACATAGTGTCTTGGCCTTTTCCTCCGCACTCAATGGCTTTCCATGTCCTTTTGATTTTCCTTTTGGAAGTGACTTAGCATCGGCTTTCTTTGACACAGCTTTTGATGGAGCTGCAGCTGCATTTGCATTTGTCGGAGCAGCTGGAGCGGCTTTGGCCGGTACGGCCGGGGCTTTCGCTTTTGGGGTGTCCGCAGACTTCTTTGGGCTTTTCAAGGCTTGTTCAATGGACCTTGCATTGGCATCCTCCCTTTCTTCAACCAAGAATTCCTGCAATCTAGGCCACAAGAAATCAAAGTCACGGAGTGGAGAGACATCTGATGCATGACCGTTTGATTTCATCAATCACCCTCTCAAGGCGTCTGACAGTCCTCAACTTATGAAACAAGAACTCTCCAAGCATTCGTTGATTTGGCCATTGATCATGGGGCATGCTATTGAGAACTTTCATGACCTGAGCTGAGAAATCCTGCAAGTCCGAAGTTAAGTAGCCATGCAAAGAGAAGACTGAGAAGTGATCAAAGATCCATGAGCGCGATCCAAGTCAAAGTGACGAGAGATCATCTGAAGCACTGCACGACCGCGTGGAGCGGTCCCATCACGAGCGCAACGCTCGACATAACCCTGTACTTTGAATTGCAAATCTTGAACACCTTTCATCCCTCTGATGAGTTCAGTAGCCAGCCAACGATCCAAACGCGGAACAAGTTCAGATGAACTAGCACAAACTCAGCTGTGTTGACCTTGAAAGCATGAGAAATCCAGGACGTCAAGTAGTCTGAACCACTAATATCCAACCGACCCAGCAACAATATCAGGGTGTTCTTCCAATTCCTGAAATCAGCAGCTGTATTGGGGATGGGGTCGAGCTTTGCGTGTTGTAAAGTCTTGGAGTCAACCATTT